GGCGAGATTCCCAATCCTAAAGCGAATGGCTTCTTTTCCTTTTTCAGTGCAAAGAGATATAGTTGTTGCTTGTTTTGCAGTCCATAATTTCATAAGGAAATGCGATATTCATGATGAGTTATTTATGGCGTTCAAGGAGAACAATGCTCAAGCACAAAGGGGATAGAATGATGGCAAAAACGTACACGATATGGAATGGGGTTCGCAAGGAAATGAATACATGGATCATTTGTGTGACCAGATTGCGAATCAATTGGGGTGAAATTAAATTTGTAGGATTTTATTTGGATTTTAGTATGATTATGTGGATTTAAAAATATTTACGTTTGATTTGGATTTGTGTTTAATTTTGATTTATGCTAAATTTGGATTTTATATGGTGTTTATATTTTTTTTAATATATATTTAAGAAATTTATTAGGTTATTTTCTAAATAAACAGTTGAATTCAATAAAAAATAAAATAGAAGGGTAAAATGGTCATTTTAATAATTCAGCACAACAATTCAGAGGTCCCAACCAAACAGCATGTTAAACATTCAGCTCTTAAAATTTCAGACCCTCTTAGGGGCTGTTTGGATCAGGAGGTCTGAATTTCTAAGAGGGTATGAAATTTTAAGAGTTGAATGTTTAACATGCTGTTTGGTTGGGACATCTGAATTGTTGTGCTGAAATATTAAAATGACCATTTTACCCTTCTGTTTTATTTTTTATTGAATTCAACTGTTTATTTAGAAAATAACCTAATAAATTTCTTAAATATGTATTAAAAAAAATATAAACACCATATAAAATCCAAATTTAGCATAAATCAAAATTAAACACAAATCCAAATCAAACATAAATATTTTTAAATCCAAAGAATCATACTAAAATCCAAATAAAATCCTACAAATTTAATTTCACCCCAATTGATTCGCAATCTGGTCACGCAAATTATCCATGTATTCATTTCCTTGTAAACCCCATTCCATATCGTGTACGTTTTCGCCATCATTCTCTCCCCCTTGTGCTTGAGCATTGTTCTCCTCGAACGCCCTAAATAACTCATCATGAATATCGCATTTCCTTATGAAATTGTGGACTGCAAAACAAGCAACGACTATATCTCTTTGCACTGAAAAAGGAAAAGGATCCATTCGCTTTAGGATTGGGAATCTCGCCTTCAAAACACTGTAAGCACGTTCAATAACATTTATGAGTTGCGCATGTGCATGATTGAATTTTTCTTCCTTAGTTAACGCACGTCGCCGTCGATAATCGGCTAACCAATACCTCGTGTTGCGGTAATGAGTCATAAATCCACGAGTGTTGGTGTATGCAACATCGCAAAGGTAATATTTATCTATACACATGAGTGAAGGAAGTATTATATATAGAAATTTAATATCGTATTTTAGAATAAATTTAAAAAGAATTAAAAACCTGGAGGAGGGAACGGAAAGCCTGAAGTCGGGTTACATGCAACTTTTTTCAAAACTCGCGAATCATGTGTTATACCCTCCCAACCGGCCCATACGAATATGAATATCATATCAAAATCACAAATTCCTAAAACATTTTGAAAGCATTCACCTTTTCCTCTTCCCCTATAGCGAGTTTGTTGATCAGCAGGCACGACTGCATATACAAGAGTTTCATCTAACGCACCTATTGCTCCAGGAAAGATTTCTTTTAGCTTACGATGCTTCTCTGAGGAATTCATGGTTGCATTAGAATTCGTTGGCACTATAACTTCTTTCGCAAAAATCATCATTGCATTTAGCACCTCATGAAAGCATCTATGAACTGTTTCTGTGGAGTGTTGAAACCTTCGTTTGATACTCCTGAACCGTTTATTATGTGCTATAGTTGTCAAGAACATAACCATCTTTTCTTCAACGCTTATATGCCTACTACTTTGCAACCAATTGTTTCGTCTAAATTGATTGAATAAAAGTACATATGCTTCACGTGAAAGACGCATCAGCTCATGACATTGTGTAGATGTTCCATGTAACAATTCTTGTGTATGTTGATGACCGCTCATTTCCGAATCATTATCAATTGCCCTTCCAATTATGTTGGATGCTAGATTCAACCAATAGCAACATAGTAACATGAAAAATGCAAATTTTTCATCCGAATCCATAAGCAATCTGTTATTTTGAAAATACATAACAATTATATTAACAACATATAACATAAAAATTCATCCAAAACATCAAGTCATTCATATCATATAAAAATCTAGTAATCCAAAACATAAATTAATCCAAAACATCAAGTCATTCATGTTAAGTAATCCAAAAAAAACCATCTAGTTCAAACCAAACATCAAGTAATCCAAAAAAACCATCTAGTTCGAACCAAACATCAAGTAATCCAAAAAAACCATCTTGTTCAAACCAAACATCTAGTTATCCAAAAAAACCATCTAAACATTCAAAAAATCTACTTAGCGAAACATTCCATAATGTGCTCCAACAGTCTTGACCCAATTCTCACAAATAGCTGGATCAATGGTTAACAGTCTTGACCCAATTCTCACAAATAGCTGGATCAATGGTTAACCACACGTGCCTCTTATCCGCACCTTCACCAAAAAGAGCAACAACAGTAGTGTATCTTGGATCAAATATTCCCCATCCTAACTTCTCCAATTTTTCCATACACGCATCCAAATTTGAAGAAGAATGCTTTTCCACAAATATTTTAGCAACTGCGCAATATCTTCCCCGATTTCAAGCAATCTTGAATTGGATGCATATGTACCATTATCTTTACCCTTATCTTTACTTTTATTTTGACTCTTTGTCGTATCTGTAGTCTTTTGTTTTTTTGATTGAGCGGATGACTCGTCACTGAGACCTACAGTTTCTTGTTGAGTGCAATCAATGTCATCAAAGTCATGCAAACTATATTGGCTTGACTCTTGAGTAGGACGAGGAAGGGTAGAAGTTGGCCCCCAACTATGAATGCCTGTCGCAGTCGCGCCTTCAAACAACTGTGTGCAAAGGTCGGGGTACGGTAGTGTCGTGCGTCTCAAAGAATCCGCATGTTTGTTTGACTGTTTGGATCAAATATTTTATTATTTAAAAATGATAATATAATTTTTATAACTAAACAAAATACCTTCGATTCTAGTTCCCATTCTTCTTTGGAAAGATTGAAGGTGTTGGTTGTTTAATTGTATACATTGCCGGTTTTATTTTTTAACTTCAAAAAAACACCAAACTTTGACTTTAGATAGTCATAGCGGTTCTTCATTTGTTTTTGGTCGACAATAAAGTTATGTTCAATTTTTAATGTTTCAGCAACATTCCTTCAAGATAGTGCTTTCAAACTACTTCTTTCCCATCCATTAACTGTAACTTCACGTAAACAAGCTTCTAGAAACGCTTTCTCTACACCTTCAACCTTCCAACTAATCATATCCTTCTTTTCTCCCATTTCTTTGATCAATTCAACAAAAAAATGTATGTTTTAGCAACAAGTTAAGCATTGCAAATACACATTCTTCAACAACAATTTAAGCAATATAAAGACACATTATCAACAACTACTTCAACAAAACAAATGCACAATAGAAAAAGTAATGGATATTTCATGAACATCAAAGAGAAGTAAGAATTCAGCAACAAAATTTCAGCATAATACTCATGAAAACATTAGACTTAACATCAAAATAACACCAAAATTCAGCATATAACATCAAAATTCAGCATATAACATCAAAAATTCAGCATCAACATTGAATCAAACATAACATCAAAATTCAGCATCAATATTTGATCATATCCATTGAACACATTCAGATTGGAACATATAACATCACTATCGAGCATATAACATCATAATGGAGCATATAACATCAAAATCTAGCAAAACATCAACTATTAATTTTGGTTTAACAAATCAGAAAATTATAGCATAATAAATTCGATTTTTGATTTTCAATTTTGAAGGGAAAGAAGGAACAAACAAGACCAATGAATTCCAGCGCAAAAAAGGAAGAAACAGAAGGAAGAAACCGAACCTGCTGCAGTCGGCGGAAGAAAGAAAACAAGTTGCAGTCGGCGGCGGAGGCTGGCGGCGTTGCTGGCGTCGTCGGTGTGCGGCGTCGCTGGCGTCGCCGGTGGGAGCAGTCGCAGGCGTCAGAATGGAGGGGAGAAGATGCGATGGCAGCCGATGTGGGAAGGAAAGAAAGGAGGCGGTCGATTAGGGCAAATAGAAAGAACGGGTGTTTCTTTTATTTTTCAGACTTTGTTTAACATCTGAAAAAATAAGAGGTATTTTTAAGTTTAAAAGGTAAAATATAATACGCAAACAAACGCTCTGAATCTGAAATTTTAAGACATCACTTCTTAATTTTGCAATTAAGAGGTAAATAAACGACCCCTTAGTTTAGGAGTAGATTATAATATTTGTATTTGTCATTTAAAAAAAACTATTTATATAATTACAAGTTTAAAGCATATAGTTTAAATATGATATTAAAATTTTACTTTATAATATTTTATGGGCGATATACATTATATCTTTTATATTTTTGTTTAAATCTAATCAATGTGTGTAAGTATAATTAATAAATAAATACCCTCATAATGATTTGACTTATTTAATGAATCTAAACATCTTTTGAATTTTTGGATAGTTTTTAAACAGCTGAGAAATTATCTTGTAAATCAAATAAAGTGCCAAAATAAGCAAAACATTTAGGCCGTTAGCCTATGAGCCAGACCTCAAAGAATACCATCACAAAATCCCGTACAATTTTTAATTCACAATGTACAAACAGCTAAAGCATACTCTTTCTGGATTCTGTAACTATACGCCTTTAAAAACAATAATAAGTTGCACCAGAGCAGAGTAGCCACGGCCTTCCTCAAGTCCTTTTTTGTTTGGTAGTCTGTCGTCTGCATCGCCAATTTTGAATTAATCGCACACCTTCCCTCCTTTCACACACACAAGAGACACATATAAACACATCTCTCTTTCTTCCATTTTCACCCATTTCCAGAAGAAGATTTTTCAATGGAGGCGATTTCGAGGTCCGGGAGGACTACGACGGAGCTTCACCACATGTCTAAGAAATGGAAGGATCCTAAAAGTGCTCAACGCAGCCCTGAACACACCAAAGTTTGGACGGAACCACCTCCGAACAATAAATAGACCACGTAGAGTCGCCGTCGTCTACTATCTCTCCAGGAATGGTAACCTTGAGCATCCTCATTTTATCGAGGTTCCTCTCTCCTCCTCCGACGGCCTTTATCTGCAAGAGGTGAGTCAAAAAATTAGCAACTGTTTGTTATTTGAGTTGCTCCATAGAGAGGTTTAAGGAGAATAAGTTGTGATCTGATGTATTCTTATAGATTTGGTGAAATCTTCTGGATGTAATCAATCACCTCAATTCTCTCTGAGGAGAAGGAATAGCTGCATTTAAGTTATCTTATGATAAAAATTTTAATCTGCTGAAAATATTCGGGAAATGTCTTGCAGATGTAATCGATCGCCTGAATTCCCTCCGTGGAAAGGAAAAGGAATTGCAGCATTGTACTCATGGTCTTCAGGTTAGTTCAACGATATGTGTAGACCCTGAAAATGATTATGACTCATGAGTTTCTGGCTATATGTATGTAATTACTGCTTCCTGAAAGCTAATTCATTCAAATTCTGTGTTATAGGAGTTACAAAAACGGATTCGTATGGCACGATTTGGCGGAGAATGATTACATTTACCCAGCACATGGCCAAGAGTACGTTCTGAAAGGATCGGAGCTCGTTGTAGCCGGTGAAGCCTCGTTGAACTCCAAATCTGAGGCACATGTGTCATCCATGTCGAAAAACACGCTATCGCCGGACTATGGAAAATCCGGTGATGATGATTTCCCGGTTGTTAGGCGTAGGAGGAATCAGTCATGGAGCGCAATCGACCTCCACGAATATAAAGTCTACACCGGCGATTCCTCCGCCGGTAAACTCGCGGCCAACGCTTCAACTCAAACTGACGATAAACGCCGTCGCAGGAGATCAATAATCAGAGAAGAAGACGAAGGAGATCAATACGGAAAAGACAACCCGGGTTTTTCGTTGATTTCACATTACAAGTCAAGGATGCTGCCACGTGTGAGAAACACCGGATCAGAGGAAGCAACAGTAGAGGACGCTGTCGTTTTGAGGAAAAACCGAAGAATTAAAAAACAGATTGTGACGGAGGATAAAGAATATTTCAGTGGGAGTTTAATTGAGACAAAAAGGGAACCATTTCCAGCTCTTAAACGATCCAATTCGTACACTGGAAATAGGTAATTATAAATTTATAATTCCGTAATTTTTCAATGGAATTATTAGATTATAGTTTTTACTAATGTGGTAGATTCGTAATTTTTAAATATATATGTGAATTGGATATTTTATTCCATATTTCTTTGCATGGATAGTAGCAAATTAATTATAAGAAAAATTAATAATTATAAAATAGAAAACGTTGACCGAGTCTTTAAAGTGTTGCTCCAACTGACATTGCCAGCTGGATCCGGACAATGGCAAGTTCCGGTCTAATTTGGGTTTTGTATAGTGTGTCGAAAGATGAAGTATTGCATAAATGAGGTTTTGTCTTCTTGACACACGAGAGTTGTGGGAAATAATTCTTGTCTTTTCGACTTTAATTGTTCTATATAAAGGCGCCTGATTTATCCACGGACTTTTCTAATCCATCCACAAAAATAAAAGTTTATGGACAAATATACCCTCAGTTTAATTTCTAGGTATATAATTAAGAGACAAAAAAAAACGCATATGTTTGGAAACTCTAAAAAACATATGACAGCGCTGTTTCTTCAACTTGCGTTCCTTCCCTCGGCAACGTTATTTCAGCCAACACTTTTTCATCCGGCGCTGTTGCTTCACCGACTTCTTCTTCAACCCACTCTCAACCGGTAAATCTAAAATTGATGTTTGATTTAATTCTGTCAAAATATTTACCATGACTATTGATTTTGATTTTGTTTTGCCACAAAGGAATTACGATTGTATCTTTTCTCGACTTTAATTGTTATCTTTCATCTCAAAACAATTAAACCATTATTAACTTTATGTTCATTCATAGTTTACGTAAGTTCATGAAAGTGCATGACTTGACTCACAATCATGAACTGGCTATAAAAAAAAGAAGAACATTGGATCTCGTTTGATTAAATGCCCCTTCCAGATTGCAGGTAAAAAGGGAAATGATGGTGTTTGGGTGCTTAAGGCAAAAAACTTGACTCACAATCATGAACTGGCTATAGATGTCTCTGGTCATCCATCATTCCGTCGATTATCACCGGAGGACGTACAAAGTGTCAAAAACATGACGCTTTCTGGCATACCCCCAAGACAAATTCTTTCTTCTTTACGTCAGAAAAATCAAAACCTTCCGACAGTCTCTCGAACCACATACAACTTGAATAATCTATCAATGATTAGTGCCTTATTTGAAGAGTTTGAAGGTGTTACAGAAAATATTTGTCTTGCAATCAGACATGAATTCAGTGAGATTAAAGTGAAACTCGTAAATGAGAAAATCAAAGTTCTTCTTAAGTGTGACACACCTGTTTAATGTTTTTAGAGAGCTTTTATATCATGTATCTCATTTTGCATTAAAGGAGATACATATACAATATGAAAAAGTAAAAAAAGATAATGTTCACAAAGGATATACTCCCTCCGTCCCAAAATTATTGTCCGCAAACAAAAAACATACAGATTAAGAAAACATTAATTACCATTAACTTTATTAAATGAAATGACAATTATACCCTTTTGTTGCATTTAATTCTATGGTAGTTGAATTTAATTTCATTGTAATTTTACTAATAATAAATGGGATTTTGGTAAAAATGATATTTATTTTTAGAAGTAGACAATTATATTGGGACAAACAAAAAAGGAAAAATGGACTATTAATTTGGGACGGATGGAGTATAATTTTTACATTATTGCACGACATTAAGTTTTACATTAACCTTTAATAACTATTTTTGTTTTTTAGGTACAATGGCTCCTTGCACTGGCCATTTTATGGCAACCATGGGTCTTCCTTTGCGCTCATAAGATACAACATTTGCAGGGAATGAAACTTTCATTAGATCTCATTCATCCACATTGGAGGATTGATACATTGCGCTTGAATTCAGAAGATGATTCACATAATGATGGCGTTAACAAATTTGATGAGTTGCTTATTGAGTTGTCTTCAAGATATCAAATGTGGCCTTTAAGTAAGAAAGAATTTGCTACTTCTATGATTAATAAGCTTTTGACTGAATTTGATACGTTGTTTGAGCTCATGATCCGTCGACCCGAAGGATAGACCTCCAAAATCAAAAAAGAAAAAAGGAATAAGTTCTACCACACGAGACCCTTCAAGATTTGAGCTTGTGGAATCATCTCAAACACCAAAAACTTCGAGTTCTACCGGTGTCTTTCGAATTAACATTGAAGTATATGATAATATTAGTTATATAAATAATGAAAACAACTTATTTGATTTAAATACATATCCAACCTTTTCAAGTGATGATATGACATATGAGTAGTTTGAAAATTTGATATGTATTAATTTGAATATTTGATATGTATTATTAGTTTGAATATTTGATTGGTATTTTCTAGACATTATTTTTATGTTATATTTTTTTTATATTAAATTGTTCATTGTGTAGTAGTTTTATAATTAATATGTATAAACTTTTAATTAAAAATTGAGTTAGTGATGTGAACACGTGAACAATAGGTAACGAAGAAATAAATAAATTAAATACTAAAATAAATGGTATAAAACTCTAGATAAGAAACAAATACAAAGAATAAGCACATGATAGAAAAGGTATAATTGGTTTTTTTTAATATTTATAAATTAATAAATGATGATATAATTGTGGTAGGGTATGCCTCCGTTTAGAGTTTCTAAAAATAAGGCTATTTATCTCTTAACATCTAAAATTTAATATAAAGGTAAAATTGTCCACATATTATTCTTTCCTTGGATTGATAAAAAAACTCAGTGAATGAATCATCCCCTACATAAAAACTATTTTTTATTTAATTTTTTTTTTTCTGAAAACGGCAAATTTATTAAATTTATTAAAAAAGAATCCAACCTACTAGCCAGAAACTAGCAAAAGGACAGAGTCTAGCAAAAACAAAAAGAGAGAAATAACAAAACAGGACATAAGGTATTACAAATTTCCAAAACGGGACACCATCCAATCATTCCATATGCCGACATTTATATCCCCTTGATCCAAAAAAACACCGTAGATTTGATGATCTCCGCTCCACTTGTGGGGTTTATCATTTATTTTCAATGCTTTTTATTTTTAGTTTCAAATGGAAAAATAAATATTCCCAACTAATTAATTGTATTCATTCTGTTCTAAAAATCTTATATGAGGTTTCGAAAAGATGTAATATATTGATTTGCATTTTTAGTTTTTTACTTACACTCATTACTTCAAGTTGTTAGTTGTTGAGTTTCAAACATTTCTTTATTTATTTTTATTGTTCCACAAATTAAAAAAATATGGAAATATGTATCCAATAAGAAATACAAGTTAACTAATTTATTAAACATTTTTTTTTTGAGTTTTCTAATGATTGAGATACGAAATTCCATATAGAAGGACTAAATTTCAAACCATGTTAAATTATTGATAGTATTTCCAAGTTGACCTCTAATGTTGACATTAAAACGAGTTGATATAATTACCATTTTAAGAGTCGGTAAGTTATAACCAAAGATGGTTATTTGATAAATTTTTGAATAACCATGTGATGTTGGGCTTTTTACCTTTTAAAATTTTGATAGCATGTGTCGGATATGTATTAAAGTTTCTTAAGCGGATATGGTAAATCTTACTTGTTAATTCAAAGATTAAGATTTTATAAGTCCGAAATCATCTATAAAAACAATTTTTCTATCTCATGGATTGATCGTACCAATGTTTTAAAAACCGGTTTTTTAGTTGAACCGGGATGATGACCGGATCCCGGTTTAACCAGTTCGACCGCCGGGTCAACCGGTTTCAATATTTTTCATGTTTTTTCTTATTTTTTTATACATACATACATATATAAATCATTAATTTGATGTTTACAAGTTCAAACATTAAAATACAAATAAAAATAAGTTGTAGATGAATTAAAATACATTAAAATAATACATAGTCATAAGTTTTAGTATTTTACAGCAATCCATATACGTCAATATATATATATATATATATATATATATATATATATATATATATATATATATATATATATATATACCAAAACAAAATATAGTTTTACTTGAATACAAACATATCAAAAAACTTTATAACATTTATCATATCTTTTTACTTAGAGAAAACTAAATATATTTGGAAAAAAATTTCCAAAGTTTATTATGTAAATGATTTTTTTTTCATGCATTTTTATTCGATTTAACCGGTTCAACCGGTTTATTTTGACCGGTTCAAGCGGGTTTTTTCTAAAAACCGGCCGGTTCAATCCGGTTCAAAAATCGACATAAAAGTGGTGATAGTTGAACCGTTCCCTCCACCGATTTCCGGTCCAACTTGTTCGACCGGCCGGTTCAAACCGGTTTTTAAAACATTGGATCATACACGACATTTATTCCTATGGATTTTGGATTTTATTGTTGTTACTACTATCATATTATAAAGTTTGAGCGTGACATTTTTAGTGTTAAGTATTTAATTAGATTATTAAGTTTGCTTCGGTCTTTAACATTCATTTGCCATGATTAGTCGAAATTCTAACAATTCAATTCATGTTTACGTGTTACTGTGTTAGCAAAATAGAAATTAAAGCAAAAAGCCTACAAGAGATTTTTCAAAAAAAAAAAGAAAAAGAATTGAGAAAGGGGAAAGGATTAAAATTCATTGAGAAATTGTTTTTTTTGGAAACGACAAATATATATATTAAAAGCCACTCGATCAGCAGGTAACTAAAACGAGGGTAACAATACAAAGCGAAAAAAACTGAAATAGAAATGAGTAACAAAGCTAATCTCATCTATCCACCTACATTTCACAAGCTTAATTCTAAACTTGAACCATGAGTAGCTTTCTAAAATTACCTCATCAACAATCTTTGTAGGATTAGTGTGAATCCCTTTGAACCTTCTATTGTTCCTAGCCAACCAAATAAACCATAAAAGTCCATATATCGCCACTGTTACCCTTTCTCTCTTCCTGGGGCAATTCCCCCAAGTCGCAGCGAAATTAAGGAATACAGTAACATTTTCAAACGAAAAATCAAGAATACCACACCATTTTAATTAGGATCCATTTTCGAGCCTCCACCGCCACATTGCATTTAATTAACAAATGATCACAAGATTCCGAAACCATATCGCATAAGGGACAAATCTTCGATTGGACTATAACTCCTCTATCCTCCATGTTTGTTGCTACAGGTATCCTGTTCATAGCCGCCCTCCAAACAACACACCTGATTTTCAATGGTATTGCTTTCAGCCTACATAGCTTATAACCATTGCAAGGATTAAGATTGAGATCAATTTTATTGAGTAAAATGCAAACGTTATATCTACCATCCGCACTTAAATTGAAGCGGAATCCGTTTTGTGTTGGTTGCGTATTGACCCCATGAAGCATGTCACATAAGTTTGCTAGATCATCCATAATCTCTTTATCCATAATGTGTGACTTCCAGTGCCAGCGAGAAAACCTGATGCTACAACATACCAAACACTGTTTTGCCGTTTCCATCTCATATAATCTAGGAAAACGCTCTTGTAGTGTTAGAGGCCCGCACCAACGGTCTTTCCAAAATAATATCCTTACATTGGATCCGGGCAAAAGTGTAAATAGTTCATAATAGTTTATGTCAACTTCAGGAAGAGCTTTAATGATTTTAGCTATGTTGCTCCATACCCCACACATCAATACTTTTGCTATCACATAGTGACAAGTTTTCGTTCCAGATTGTGTATGCTCTTGATGTAATTGTTCCATAAATCATCTATTCTTTCATAAAGTTTCCACCACCATTTGGTCAGTAAAGCCATGTTTTGGGCTTTTAGCGTCCCGACTCCTAAACCTACATCTTTTTTTGGATGCAACGACTTTAGTCCATGACACCTAATGTATCCATGAGTTTGAATCATTACCACTCCACAGGAATTTGCATCTCATTTTTTCAAGCTCCTCAAGTATGCCACTTTGCGCCTTAAAGAGAGCGAAGTAAAAATATGGAAGACTGTTGAGCATCGAATTGACTAGCGTTAGTCTACCAGCAAATGATAGAGTATTTGCTTTCCACGTGGAAAGCCTTGACTAAATTTTGTCTATTATCGGTCTCCAATTCTTCTTCAACGCCACATTTGCACCCACTGGCACTCAAAGATAGTTGAAAGGTAATGAGCTCTTGAGGCAACCTATCACTTGAGCTTGGGAATGTAGCTCCGATTCTGTGACAAACGACAATTTTCGGTCAATCTAAAGTCAAACAAAGTCAATAAGTCAAACCAGTCAACTCATTTAACCCTTGTATATTAGGGTTTACGTTATCGTTACTATTGTACAATTACCTATCTTAATTAAAAGTATATGTAACGCCCGTAGATCAGAGCTAGTCAATTTAAAGACGTTAAGCGTCAAAAATGACTTTTTGATAGAAGATTATTTAGAATGAATACTCTTAACTAAGTTGTAGTATATGTTACACGGATTCCATACATATAAAGAACGTTGAAATCCGAGTTATAACGAAGAAGTTATGACTTGTCGAAGTTTCGCGACAGAACCGACACGACACAATGCGACGTAAAATGAGAATTTACGATAGAGCGATATTTAGCCTTAGTGATCTAAACGAATGTTGTAAAGCTCGTTAAACCGAGAGCGTGCATAGAAAGAATGTCCAAATCTGACTTCGTATGAGGAAGTTATGATTTTTCTAAATTTCAGCTTAGCAGTATGCAGCCCGAAACTCGAATATGAGATCGAGTGATTTCTAGCCGAAACAATCTAAACGAGAATCGAAGGTCTCGTTGATTGTAGTGCAATGGTAAAAAGACAGACGAAAACGGACGTCGGATGAAGGAGTTTATGAATTTTAACGGACATTTCCTGTCCCGGCCTGTTAAAAATATAATATTAAAAAATAAAGTCAAAGTTAGTCAACGGAGTCTAAACAAAAGTTGTAGATCATAGTCTCACCTACGCGTGGATATAAAGAACGTCAAAAACGGATCTCGTATGAGGAAGATATGAATTTCTGAAGTTTTTAAATCATTAAAATATATAAATTTTAATATAAATTCGGATAATACGCGAA